CTTGATACCTGATTATAGCACAGCTGGCTCCAGACAAAAATAATTTGAAAATCTACTATATTTCAGACAGCTTAATTAAAATGAAGGGGAGTAAGGGGCTATAAAGGAGATGAGGGAGATACTAGGCAAATGAAGTGCTCTCCTTTGGGAGATTATGGGATATAATTAATTTTGTTAATTAACTGTAACAGTTACTGCATTACATGACCTCACATAAACCAACCAACCAACCAACAGTATGTAAAATTGATAATGAAACTACAATAGATATTTTATTTGTTTTTACTGCAAGTTGAATTCAACTACTGTATCAAGCATAAAATCCTGAAAAAAAGTCGACGAGTTCACCTGTTGGTTCATCTTAAAGAATGGTCAGATTGCCTCAAATCTAGGCATTTCCTCAGACTGTGAGTTGTATACATACTGCTTATCTCTGTGGTGTTTCCTTATTGAGATGTGGATGTATTTGTTAATTGTATGTGCCTTGTGTATGTGCTTTTCATATAGAATCATGATACATTGTACTGTAATATATTATGTGAAATAAGCTTTTAGTCAACCCAGTGAATGTGGTAATGCTGTAGGCATGATGACAATAGAATGGAATTAAGTTTCATTTTTATTAGAATGCTATCTTATGAAATGTGTAATAAACCTGAAGAATTAATGAACACAGCTAGTTGAAGCTAAGGGTTCGTATTAAGCTGAGAATTGCAGAGTTGATCATTTTTAATGTAAGATTTTTGAGTTGAGTGGAATATCCAAAAATGGACCTGGAGTGTTCACATTTCTGGGTGTTTACATTTTAGAGGTGTTTACATTTACCTGCAAGTAAATGTTATACATCATTATTGGTTGATGTTGCATAAAGAGATGTAAATGTACATGTACACTCATATCAAAAGGTTTGGCAAAACAAACTCCTTTCAACTTAAATTGAACCACAAGCATGACAAATTGAAGTCTATTCATGTTCAGTTCTTAAAAATTATGTTTCTGTGTTACATCATGAATTATTAAGAAAACTCGAGAATTCAAACATAAACAAACTTTAACATGCTTTTTAATGAAGAGTCAATGTTGCCAACTTTTGAGGGGGGTGTATCATTGTTGGAAGGTGGAGCATAAATTTTTTAATGCAAAACAGGTTTTAGTTACTGCTTTATCTTTAACTAAAACACAAAGCTGTATAGCATTGTAATAATGTTTAGTGATTGTGAAACAATCCCTTTGTAATATTATTCAGGTTTTAAATTACATATTCTACAGAGACAGATGTGCATTGTATTGTATTGTATTGTACGTATTGTCTGAAACAATATATCATGAGAAATGGTGCTTAAAGTCAAGAGTTAAAGAATGAAATTATTTTATTTAAATGATGATTTTGTTGTATAACATTGACCTTGTACGGGGAGTGTAAGACAATCAACATTTTACACTTAAAGGGGCTGGATTAAATTTTGAGGAAATTTTGTCTTATTAAATCATGGTTTGTATGACCCTGCACAGGACACAAGACAGGGACATGTTTTTTCTATCTTTAAAAAACATTGTGAATACCGTTGTGTTTTATATTATATCCACATCTGAGATGTTTTTGCCTTTCTGTTTTTTTAAGTGATTGTATTTGAAAGACGTGATGTACTAACCCTAACTCTATTTATGGTCTCAAACTAGTGTTTGCTTTTGAGAGATGTTTATTTAAAGAGATGTTCACTTTTTTAAGAGTGTTCACATTAACAGGTTATTAGTGTGATGTAGAATGTTATCTTGGAATTAAATCCAAGATGGCTTTCACTGTACAAAATGTATATTAGTCTTGAGTAAAGCTTCAAGTCTGCTTGTGTATATGTGTGTGAATACATAATAGTCACTTATTTTTGCATTTTTAAAATTGATGTGAACAGCTGAATGGAAGTGTAACTTTCAATTGTACATGAATAAAGTAACTTGATTTCTTGTAGATACATCTCTTGTTCATTTTTATGTCACCGCCAAAAGTGGTGACATTTTGTTTTATATTGTCTCCTTTTGTGGATGGTGTTCGGTGTTTGGCATCTGTAACAAATGCTACAAATGGTAGGTGGTGATATTTTGCAGTCTTGTTGAACTTGAAATTAGGGTTGCCACGACATTTTCAAATCTAAATTCCCTGACTTTCCCTAATCCAAATCTGATTGGTCTGAGGGATGGTGACTGAGTTTTACCAGCTACCATAGGATTTTTCATTATGGTTTAACGCCAAACCCCGATTACTTTGCTTCTCAAAGAATCTTTACTAATGGAAATCCCCATTTACCCATTCCCCTAAGAAATCAACATCCACAGTTCTTGACATCTGAATACAATCCCTATAAGAGACAAGAGTGGATTCTGAGTGGACACTGACTGCAAAATGCTGTTAGACACTGAACACCAACTGCCAAACACCAGCCAGGAAAAGTTGGAGACTATAACAATATGTCACCACTTTGGTGGTGACATAATTATTAATTCAATTCTGCCTTCTTTAAGGACAATTCCTTGGAATACCCCAAAATCAGAACAAAAAAGCAATTATAATTTTCATTTTACATTTATTATTCCTATGAATAAATAATGAACATTCACTTACAAAAATAATCACTAATAATACGAGAATTAATGATACAGCAGACACACCTATGAATAATGAACAATTGTGCATCATTTTGTGCGTAATTCGTTATATCATTCGTTTATATTATGTCTACATCCATCTTTAAGCACTGGCAAATATAATCTAAAATGTATGTTTAATTATAGCCTTGCCCAAGTCGGTATTTTTTTACTTATCTGATCTTGAATTATTACCGCCGGTCATAATAGAAATCAAGATAGTAAAAGAGACCGACTTGGACAAGGCTAGTTTAATTACACCAACTACATTTATTATTGATAGACATATATTCCTTAATTTGACCATATAACATGTATATAGAGTATGGCAAAGGAAGATCTTCAGTTTCAATAACATGAGCAAGAAATCAACAGAGGTCTTTCAATTATGTAAGGGATTGTTACCTTAATTGACAGACTGGTCAAATGGATTATTTTTTTTTTTCAACAAGCTAGCAGATTTAAAACTATGTTGCTGGAACTGTCAGTGAATTTACATGAGGTCAGAGGAATATCATAATTTTGACACTGAAAGTGATATCAATCAAGTTTTAAAAATGGTAAATACAGAAATACATCACAGGCATAGCCTTAGCCTTGCCCAAGTCGGTCTCTTTTACTTATGTTGATTTCTATTATGATCGCCGGTAATAATTCAAGATCAGATTAGTAAAAAAATACTGACTTGGGCAAGGCTAGTTTAGCCTAAGATCTCATGAAATCAGCCAAGACAAAAATTAATAGATGAGGCAAAAGACTGAGTCTAAAAGAGGTAAATTACTACATTTGGATTTCATTTCAAAAGTTTACTTGAAAAATCCATTGAACTAGCTGAGAGATTTACTTGTGCATATTTTGACCATATTTTTTTAAATGAGAAAAAAATCTTGGGGAGGACAGCCTTTTACTGCAGAGGGATATCATTATAAATCTTAGTAATCATATTTTTATCTGAATAAATATATTTCTGTAAAGTTTTGGTGAGGTGTATGCCTCGATTGCCTCACCAGTGCCTCATGTCTGGCTATGGCCAATGTTTCACTCTCAAATCTGCACACATTATCATTTATCGACACTCTAAAAACACATCAAGTAAATATGTAGATAGTGATTAAAATGGAAACATTTAATTTTTGTGAATTCTCATTATTTGTTACAATTTGATTATAAATAGGACACGATACAACATATAACATTTAGATACTGCAAAGTTTCACAATATTATTATAAAGCCCCACTCTTTATCTCTCGTTATCCATTGGATTACATAATCCAGACACCAGGGCTTTATTCTTTGGTCCAGACCTCACCTACGATTCCTCAAATACATTATGAAATGAATACATTATCCATCCAAATCTCTTGTATGATTCACAACACACAAAATCATTATTGATTAGATTGAAGTGTGATCTCATGAGTTCAATTTTGCTCCAAGTGTGACATAACATAAATATGGCTACTAGTGTGACATCAATCAGTTACACCGACAAAAATGACACCACATGTCCAAACCAACCATAGATTGATAAATATTTCAACAATAAATAAATGGATATTACAATTTCCATATTCTACACGTGGAACCAATTATTAGAATTACTTTTAAAAAAATAAGATACTAGAGATAATATGAAACAATAGCACTCAGCAGTATGTGATATATAAATAAGCCTCTTAGTCTTATAAATAAGCCCTCTAAAGCTTATGAATAAGCCTTCTCATACAGAAATGAAATCTTAAATCTGAAGCTAAGGTAGACCTGGTAGACATATAGTTTAGATAATCATCATTGTATCTCTTACACATAAATTTGCACCCTTCCTTCCTTAAGAAATTCTTGAAGTGATTTTTTGTACTTTATGAGTACAATGTATTTATAAAGATGATGTCATGCCTCTTTTAAACTATGTTCAATTATTTGAAAGGACTTTTAAACCGCATCAAACTCGATAATGATGCACAGTTTATTCTATGATTACATTGCATCTATAGCTTAATCTCTAAATGAAAACGCTTAAATTCAAGTTTCAAATGACTTTCAAGTAGGGCTGGCATGAAACAGAATTAGACTCAGAAAAAGAATTTCAGAACTGCCTTCTCATGTTCTGATATTTTCAGAATTAATTGTTTTCCATTAAGAACACTTCCAAGTTGGTCTAGCAAATTGATAAACACGATAAATGTTAAATTATTTCTCTTCTTTGTACCCTAGTTGCAGCTATTCCAACGTTTATAAACAATGCAAACTTGTGCAACTAAAGTGTCTTTAGTGAGCCAATAAGGTCCTAAATTCTGAAATCCATTCCACTCCATTCCGATTTCATTCCGTGCCAGCCCTACTTTCAAGTAGTATACAGATACATGTACTGTAATTCACAAATCACAAGTCATAATGTAAATCTTACTTCAAATACATGGAGCTCATATTTAGACAGACCTACAGTTCATAAATAGCAGAAATAATTTTAAATAACCTAATTTTCCTTTGATCATGTTCTTTTTTTCTTACTTTGAATATCAATATCTATTGATGAATCAGTTCCGAATTTTAACCGTAATTTTTTAGTCGGCAAGTTTGTGTTTGTATGAGATTCTGGTCCGGTGTAGAAGTTTTTGGGATTAAACGTCACTTGTTCATCATCAACATCATCAAACAGATTCTTGAATCTTCTTTTTTTCTTTTTCTTCTTTATATTTCGTCCAGTTTTGCTTTCATTTGATTGGTTCGTAGATGGGATGGAGGATGCCGAGGACATGGATCGCTTGCGATGACGTCTCCGCATTCTGATTGTCAACTTTGGTGCCTTGCCGCAAGACCTCTCAACAAGTTCGCTGTCATATTGCCTTGATCCAGGGCTTGGTAAAGAAGAGTCTGTCTCACTCTTTAAATCAACCTCAGTCCCTATTGTCTCTATACTGAGATCTTTCACTCTGCTACCGGTACTACTAAACTGGTCAAACCTCGAGGTCATTTCCAGTTTTTCTGTCTTTAAATGCTTTTTATGATCCCCTTTACTACCTTTTGATGTTACAGGGGTGTCTGACTTTGAATTGCACTCTCCCAATTTACCCGGATGTAGGCGTGTTGAGCGAAGCGTTGAAAAGTTCACGCCAGCATCTGAATCATCAGAACTTGATATATCACTACAGGATGCTTCGTGATTTTCATCGTGGGAGTCATCCTCTTGTTTGTATACCCTGTCACCCGGAGATAGCTCAAGAATTGGCATATCCTGTGAATAATGATTTAATTCAACGCTGGAGCGACGTAACCTTGTCATCCGAGATTTATCCGTGATAATGTTCTTTTCTTGAGCCACAACAGAATCGCTACTGGCTCTCTGATTGCGAGTGAATGGCTTGACGTCCAGTGCCGGATAATCTAGACTTGGCATTCCACTGGAATCCTCGCTACTACTTGAACATCTGGATCTAGAACCATTCGGCCCCTCAAATTTCTCGAGACTCGGCATGTCAGAGCTTATACTTGGAAAGTCTCCACTGATACGTCGCATTCGTGATGAGCGTGGTGATAAAGCAGACTCCGTTCCCTGTGTATCCGCTATTTTAATTGTTTGTGCCAATCTACCCCGCCCCCGTGCAGGACTGAGTGCCCGTAGATTGGGACTATGAGCTGTGACATCATCATCTCCGCACGCAGCAGTATCAATACATAGCTGTTCACTAGAAAATAGCTTCCTAGAAGGCTTCTGTTGTTGTTTAGATTTACTAGAGCAAACTGGAGCGACCCCCGGCCTTTTTTCTGTGCGTTTTGGCTGTGGAAGGGCATATCCCTGAGAAAGCAGAAGCTCTGCGTCGTAGCGTGTAATTCCACGACTCCTGAGTTCTTCTTTAGTTAGAAGATGAGCTTGCTTCTTCAAATTATTGGCACGGTTATCCCAGTTTCCTGCAAAATTATGAAAGTCAGCAATGTAATTCAAAGATGACAGTTGTGAAATGAAAGTTCATCATTTTTCAAAAAGAAGTTTCAGCCATTTAGAAATCTTTTTTCCAAAAGTTTGAAATTATCTTTTTTAACTTAAAAACTTCACAAATTCCTGTTATATTTCAATGTTTCTTCTACAAAGATAAAGCAGTACCTGCAGGTTTATCTGGAGCTTTATTCTGTTTCCCCTGTTTCTTCTCTTCTTCACTCATTTTCTTTTCAAGCTGTATTCTGGCATCTGTATCACGCAGCCTATAACCGTTAGTGTTCTTCTGAGGAGTCACATCAGGCTTAAAACCACCATTCTGCCTTCTGAAATCCGCAAAAAATAATCAGTGTAAGAAACATAGTATGGCTTACTATTCTATCGTGCAGTTTTTTCTCCAGTAGTGTTTACCATAATGACATGCAACCAATTATACAACATTTATTCCAATTATTTTCTTTCTGTTTAAATTTTTGCATGTATGCGGAGTATACAGCTTGACTTAACAATAGCTGGAAATATGCTATTACAATGTTTTCATATGACCTGAAAATTCAGATGCTTGCAGTGTATTTTTTTCAAATTGTTCACTTTTTGCTTATTCTTAGTAATTTTCTTCCCTTTGAGGCCCTATATATCAAAACTACTGCTAATAGATGGCGGGGTGATCTACATGACCTGCTATCTAAGAGAATATGAAGCCTGAAAAAAAACTTATTTACCTTTCACATGTTTCGCATTCACATAAGCTGTTGTTATCTCCAAAGAAATCATCACCATAGTAACATGTTATCTCTTCCTCCGATTCGATATCTCTGAGAACTTTCACACAGGCTGTATCTCTGCCAGTAGATACAAACTGAAAAGACAAAATTTGCAAATTTTTTTACCTTAAAAACTGACAACAGTTTCATTTAATATTAATGTGAATTTAGTTTGGTGTTAGAAATTCTTCTGTCATTAATAATTTCTCGTTAAAAGTGGCCCCATATGATAGACTCTCATGGTGAAAAATATGGGGTCAGAACAATGGTGTATATTGCCAGCATGGGCCCCAATAATATAGATGAATATTGAATCACAGGGAAAGACAGGCAGATGGGCAAATAAGCGATTCTGGATATGTGAGCCAAAGATATGCAAGAAAACCTTTTTCATTTTGTATTCAATAGTAATTCTAGATTGTCATTACAAATGTCAATTCAAAGCAATAGTAAAACTTAAAAGCAGCAGTAAAACTAATCCAAGTTCAGTCATGTTAATTACTTTGTGAGCTATATACAAACATGCAATGATAAATCTCAAAGATATAAAATAGACCACCATTACAACTTGCTACATACCTTACAATTAGGCCTACAGTCATGGTTTATAAAGGCTGCAGGTCCTAACCAGAGTTGAGCGCAGTTTTTCCGTGTGGAGTACATGACACTAAAGTCATTGACACCGTATTGCAGCATTGTTGCCTCTTCTTCAGCCGTCATCTCTGCTATACAACCTACCAGCATTGGGATACTATCTCCTCGTAACCTAGATAATAGACACAGTGAGGTGATACATCTCCATCTATAATCCATTTTTTGAAATATTAAAGAAAACACATCTAAGGGGCGGGGTCAAAATATTAATGTTCATATGGAGACGAAAGTAATTTCGTTTGGACAACAACCCCCCCCCACCCCCCCTCTAGACGAAAGCTTAGGTCACTTCAAAAAAACATTGGCACAATCGTATCCTATTTGCCGAGTTATTATTACGGTGAATTAACACACGTTCGCAATTTAACTGCATTGAACTCTTCAAAAGGAGGAGGGAAAAGTACGGAATTTATTTGAAAAATGATCGAATTATCGTCTTTATCTACCGATATTTTGGACCTATCACACAAAAAAGCTCACGAACTATTGAAAACAAGCCTTTTTATCAGAAAAAGTGGGTAAGTCCAATTATTTTTTGTATATCAGATCCGAATTATCGATGTTTTTTGGTCAACGAAAGTGCCCAAAAACCCCCTCCCCCCTCGCGAAAGTACTTTCGTCTCCATATGAACATCGATATCTTGACCCCGCCCCTAAGATACATGTGTGAGCAGTTAAAATGGCAACATTTTGTAGGCTCACATGGTGATTCTTTAAAAGTCATTATACTCATTTTTTCAAAAAAGGTCAAATTGCAAAAGTGCATATACAAACATAAACCATACATACAATAGGATAACAAGTGAAAATTAAAGAACGTCTTTTTTCTAAGGAATAGTGTCTAATTATCAACAGTTGAGGAAATATTTGTTTCATTAGGGTGATTGATTTTGTTAGCTAATAGTGTTGATTTTTTAATATTCCAAATGACAAATCAACATCAAAATAATGAAATTAAATTTGTTTTTCCATACTGTTGATAACTGGTCACCATCCCTATGTCCACAATATCATTTATGATACTTACCATTTACGCACTGTACAAATCTTGCCTCCAACCTGCCCTTCCATTGAATACCTATAGCACGGTAGCACTTCAAAACCTGCCTGAACATCAAACATACGCAAATAACGAAACACCTGAAATTAAGAAATGTCATAATGTGCAATTGTTATTTCAACATGTTTTATCCTGCAGTGCAGACTTCATGAAATAAAACAGGCAATGAATGATTGATAAATTTTCTTGTAAATCACCCAGTGAGCAAAAAAACTTATCAGATCCTCACACTACTCTGCTTTTGCATCCGTTAAACAGATTTCTTGCCTTTCAGTTTATTGTGCTACCTGCCAATAGCAACAAAATAGCACTTTATATTATGCTTTAAATAAAAATTCATATTCTACCTTATCAAAAGGTGTTTACATATCATAAATTATTTTCTTACATGTTCTTTGAATACAAGTTGTTGCTGCTTGGACTTAGTAAGAAAAAATGTTCGAGCCCATTCACCAGAAGTGAGATCTCTGAATGCATTTTCATATCTCTGATCCCTCTTAAACCGCGTAACAACAGCCTTTAGGTCCTCTTGCTTAGCTTTGATTGGTCGATATCTAAAATTATATGATTTTTGAGTAAAAAGTCTAAAAGGTGAATAAGACCATTTTACAGTAGATTTAGAGAAATTTTACTTGAAATGAAAAAATAACAAATCAATATTTTAGACCCATTCAGGATGCCAGCCTCAAATTCTTGATGTATAGCCTTACAAATATATATACATTTTGTTCAGTTCAGAAATTGAATCAAAAGTTTTGGTCTTATTTTTAAACAAAAAATTTCAAAGTAGAAAAGAAGTGATTGAGGTACTGGTTCGGATCATTTGGACTGTTGATCATGAATTTATAGTCAGTTATAATGTCAAAAATGACATTCTTATATTTTCACTGTTGGAAGATATTGAGCTGCGTCCCTCAGGAAGCCAATCCTCCTCACATTGACTTCCTTGAGTCAATGGATCAGTTTTTGGCTATATCTGGCATGCCATCTATTTATTTTAATATTTATTTGGTTTCTACAAGTGTGCCATCTTTCTAATGTAAACTTTAATGTATCACAGTTTTGTATATGAATCCAGTATAATTACCTTGTATTCATCTTGTGTGAAGCAAACCCAAGATATGGGTCTATGACAAGTGCAGTGGCTAGGTCATCATTCTCAGCGAGTTCCTTCGCTGTCATTCCAGTACTTGGCTGGAAACGTCCCCATCCATTACCTGTCAATGATACCCTGCCATTGCGGTCGACCACCATCTAAAAATACACATGTATCCAATTTGAACAAGGGAGGTAAAGTAATATACAAGCACAATGTCATACCCCATACATATTGTTGGTAAACAATATCTCATCATGAAAGCGAAACTGAAACTATATATCAGAGGGGGTAAATGGAAGAGCCATACAATGAAACTTCCGCCATTTTTTCAAATCTCTAGTTCCAAAAAAGAACGCAAAATCAGCTATATGAAGAATGTAATAGCTCGAAATTAAATACTCAATGCAATGAAGCTTCATTATTCAATCGATCTAGTGACATTTACAGAGTATGCATGCTCTTATTTAGAGAATAGAGCAATTGAAAGTGAGAACATTCAAAAACAGTCGGACAAATCGGGAAATCAAACCAAGCCTAAATTTTTAAGATCCCTAAAATAAATGTTACCTACCTTGATCGGTAAATCGATTTCACTCAACCGATAAAATACGTTGTCGCTGTCAAGTTAAAATTATCATTCTGTACAATATATACCATGTAGGAGGCGAATTATTGGGTTTTAGTATGCTTTCTCGGGCTTTCTCTCAGAAAATTGTTGTGCCGAGGAGCACCTGTTTCTTCATCCGCAATGTGTATATAGTGCGTGTGAATTATACGAAACTCCTCCACTCTTCATCAGTGAAAATATTTAAAATACATACAAGGCAAAAAGTAAATAAATTGATACATGTGTAATGAACGTCGCACATCAAAATACACAAACAAATTATATTCTCTAATATTCTGTAAATAGCGGATTATTTTCCTAATTTTGTCACGTGACTGTGTAAAGGGGTTATTAAGTACATTGGCGGTAAGTTGGAAAGATGTAATATTTCCATCATCTTAGAAACTCATGTTTTATATGTTCTATACATGATTAATATTTCTGAAATGTGTGCATTATTATCCTTATTGTATACTACACTATTTTATGTATCTAGTTTGTAAAATTTGCCTCCTATGTAGGGTTGATTATCATATTGCACTTTTTTTCTTGACAACATAAGACAAAGATGATTTGTTTGTCAATTGAACCAAATCTAAAATCTCCTCTAGCCTAGGCTACAAAAATTATAGCCATCAAAATCTTGTACTTGGCAGTTTCCTTATCTGTTCTTCTCTTTCAAGCAACCGCTGAAATATGTTGTCGGTTGTCGCGGCCTAGTACCTATAGATATCGAGCCACGTATCTAACTGATGTTTTTTACTCGAGTCTCTAGCCAATACTTGGCTAGAGGGGATTCATCTAGAATACTGTGAACTCTATTTGAAAAAAGCTGCCGGGGTGTCATAAATTTATTGAATATTTTAAAAATCGCCAGATAAATAAATCATTAATCAAACCGGACCCAGCTCAAATCCTTGATGAGATATGACATGATTTCATCAGGATTTCGTCTAAAATTAAAACAAAATGGCTCCAAGAAAAATGGCGATGTTCGAAAACTGGACGAAATGTCGTTACGTCTGACATTAGTAACTGGCTGTAAATTCTAAGTTAGCGATCCAGAAGATGTGAACTAATACACTGATCACTTTGTGTGTGTTTTGGAATTTTTCGTGAGGTAATAAGACCAAAACTCGCAATTCAAATTGTGATGTGGAAAAATGGCGGACATATGATTTCAAATTTTATGATTACGACATTACCAGTTGTTCATGCAGGAATATATCTGTACTGGAAGGCCACGATACAGTGGCCTTAGAAGAAGGTAAGATGTTTTAATCAGATACGAGAATCGATATCTACCTAGTAAGCAACCTACGTTAATTTTCTAAAGTCGAAAAATAATGCCGCTAGATATGCGTATAGTAGGGGTACCGCAAGGGCTCGAGCAATTCGCCTCCGATACGAGCTGTATCGATACATAAAATGAATATCAGTCGTATCGTTTTTTGACCGTAAGTCCCCTTACTTACCCAAAGGGATGGAAAAACTCAGACCTTAGAGATGACAGACAGTTAAGTTACATATCTTGCTTGCCGCCTTCGTTTGCTCTATTTTCTCCGTCCCGAAACATACAAATATAGTGGAATTTGTGTCCATAATGGCAAATAGGAACTTAAAAATTTGAAGTGATATTCACATGTTAATGCTGACTCTTCAAATGTTTAAGTGGTTTTGCAGCTCATTTACGCCGCAAGGAGGATTGGCTCCCAGAATGCAACATGACACGTGTCACAAGTAAATAAGGTTAACTGATGTTGCATTCTGGGAGTCAATCTACCTTGGATCACAAACATGGCGATCCATGAAAACATTTGTTCGATTTGGTAGGAATTTATCCATCATTTTCAGGTATGAAGCTTTGGATTCATTTATTGTGCTACTTAAAGTGAACGGGAATTATTTTTCTACCGCTTGGGAGAGTTTGAGACATGAAACTTAGAATTTAGCTCATTGTGACAACTTTTGATGGTTGAGGTTTATTAATGTCTCCCACTTTATTTCTTCAATCCATCTAAACGCCACCAGAAACTTTAACCCAATGCAAAAAAGTAGCGGCTCTGTCTCAAATTGCAAAAGTATAAACTTCAATTTTTAATCGACCAGTATTTCAACATTTTCGCCAGTGTTTTCGGGAATTATATCCATTTACATTATGAGCACATCTGAGTTACATCCGGTATCTTCAGTAGCCGAGTAAATTACCAAAATGAGATTATTCGATAGAATGATACTGGATACCATATTGTAATCTCCAGAGATTTCCGAGCTTGTGGTTCAGCAATTTGATAAGGCAAGAGAACTAAAAGAAAAAGACTTCCAGGTTTCAAAAGTAGATCTCTTCTAATCTATACTATGATTGCTTGAGAACCTGCACCTCTGTGAGCATTAATTATCACAAAAAAACTATTTAATACAGAAGATACAATTTGGTCAGGTTTATCATGAGGAGTTCTGAGGTATAGTATGTTGTTTCAGCTGGTAGATAAATGTTTAATTTGGTAAACATGTTTCGGCCATGGGCTTTGTTTATCCCACGGATGCATGTGACTTAAAAAATATAGCAACCAAAGTTATCATGAACTACATGTACATGAAAATGCAACACTGAGTGATGAGAAGGGGTGGAGAACACTGAGGTCGGGTAACACTCGCTGAAATTTGGAAAAATTTTAAAAAGTACAAACTCACCCAGAAGACCGTTTGTAAAATGTACACCAAATTTAGGGTACACAGATGACAATTAATATTTTAATGAATAAATACTGTTGCAGAAATAAAACATTCAACTGACATAATGCCCTCAAATGTTGAAATCAAGGCACGTGTGCCTGATATGGAACTACTTGAGAGTAAGGCCAGGGATCACAGTGGGGAGGAGGGAAAACTACTTGAACAGGAAGATGTCTTCTTTGTGACACCAAAGGGACGCTTAAAGCTACGTCATTTGAAGGTACGTACGTGTTCAGTGTGGGTCTTAGGATTTTTCTGTCACTCGACAAGTGCCATCGACTTGTGTTTTCGTACTCGCCAATTGAAATTTAAACTCACCAGTGTTGCATCCTCCTAAGCAGGTGTCCAGAATCCGTACCTCCTTCTTCCCCCTGCTATAAGCAGTTAACATTTCCCCGATTGAGAACTCGCAATTTGATTGGCTGTCGCAACACTGCGACAGCAATCATGTATACGTCATCGGCGCATAATTAGATCACGTGATTCAGTTTAATCGGGCGCGTCCAACTTGGTTATAGCAGGGTGTAAAAGGAAAGAAGATATTCTGGATTTTGAAGCCCTGTGATCGGAGGATGCAGTGTTGTCACTGATGATAAATTATGTGTATACTCACAGTTTTCATGTGAATAAAAAGAAATAAAAGAAAGTAGTGTACTTTGTTCTATAATATTTAACAATGGCGAATTTCATGTTTTTTTTTATGTTAGACAATGTGGCGAGACACTTCAATTTTACACTTCACTCTAAATATTTACATCCGCATGGGGCTACTGTCCAGTGGATAATGGATATGAGCCACACTTGTGTTATACCCTTATACAGAGTGGGCCAAAAATGTCCATGATTTTTATTTCAATATAACCTTTTAGAAATGCATGGATTTCCATCAAATTTTGGCAAGTTAATGCAGAAATATATTTTTCAAATGTTCCAAAAATGGGATAAATATATGTTAAGGGGTTTCTGAATAATGAAGGTAAACAGACAGAATAACACTCAGATTTCTGTAAATTTTCAAATAGACCCCTACTGTCCATTTACCTTTATTACTCAAAAACCCCTAGAGATTTATTTATCCAATCGAAGAACAATTGTCAAATTGATTCCTGCATATGCTGCCAAAGTAATATTGAAATCCATGCTTTTTCAAAATCATTTGAAATAAAAAATATGGCACACCTTGTAATAATGCGAGTTACATGCACAGATGTACTCATAAACTACATATATTCCAAGTATGTTAAAGGCCTGAAACTTATAGTATATTTGTTGCATTTCATCATGTACTAATAAATCTAAAACAAAAATAACATTTGTCAAACTGGAAAAACTGCATTTGTGTTGTAGGGACAGGCAGCACAATTGATTTATTATGAGAGGCCGGATGAGGAGGGACCAAAAACGAGTTTATACCATGTCTTTGAAACTGAAAATCCAGAAGATTTAAAGGTAACTTTAACAAGCACAAGATTCTCTGGTTTGATTTTATCTTATCAGGCCCGTAGCCAGAGGGGGGTTTTTTGGCCAAATTTTCCAAAGTGAACCCCCCTAGGATTTTTTGGAAAAGTGAACCCCCCTTGGAAAATTCTGGCTACGGGCCTGCTTATACTTGTATTTTGTTTGTGTTTGTAACAAATTGGTACAATGATGAAACCATTTTCAAGTAGAGACATTTTGTCACCGGTATGAAATTAATGACTTATGACTTAAGTTAGATAAAATAATGTAAAAATTCTAATGACTTTCAAGCATCAAATTTTGTGAGAAATTTTAGCAAAGTACAATTTATTGTAAAACTTATTATTCTCCCATCAAACAAAGTTCAGGTTGATATAGAGAACACCTCCATCCATCCATCCATCTATCAGTTTTTGCTAATAACTCCAAAGAGTGATATTTTGTTGATACTTTATATGTAAATACTTTGAAGAATGAAACATTGCATAGGTGTAGCCAGGGGGGGGGGTCCGATGGGTGCAAATGTTCATTGGGTTTTTCTACGCCTTGGCATTGCAATTATCTAGTGATTGATGACATGGCACTGTAAATCACTATTCCACAGCTGGATGACTCTAACTGCCGTTTAAGTATCATTCAAGATGGTGGCCAAAATTCTTTCATTTTCGCTAAACCTCAGATTTCAGATGAAGTAAGTTGAATCTGGATTCCAAATGTTTCACCATGCAAACTAATAAAGTTATGATTGGAAACAATTACAAGAAAAGAAAACAGCCTCACTTAGAATGACTCTAACTGAACTTGATGATGACGTATCATTCCTGCCATCATAAAGTTCAGTTAGAGTCAGTCTAAGTGAGACCGTTTTCTTTAAATTTCTCCAATATCGCAGTTAGAGTCATCCAGGTGTGGAACAGTGTAAATCTCTTTACTACTCTACTGCAGATCGCCCTATCAATGTGTCTGGGGGTGAAAGGTGTAGTGAAGAAACGTCGCAAGCTGTTCATGGTGGGGCAGACTCGGGTGCATGTTGACAGAGTGGAGGGCTTGGGAGACTTTATGGAACTAGAGGTGAGCGCATGAGAAAAAGTACATATACAGTATTTCTCTCATGACAAATGTATAAGGGTCATCCCATGTCTTGAAATCATTATTCTGAAATAGAGTATAAATGTAAAGAACAATATTTTTCCTGAATACCATAATATTATGGACCTACCTTATTATAACATTTATTTTCGTTAAATTCTTAATCTCGCTATTGGGTCTATTACATGAATTTAAATAATGAAGCAAATTATAAAGTGGGTGCAAAACTCTCATTTTCACAATTTAGACCAACATTGGTCAAAATATGCCAATTTTTCATAATATTTCTCATTTTCTAGTGAGTGCAAATGAATTTCAGGTGGGTGCAAGTCTGTTTTCAAAATCTCAGGTGGGTGCTGCGCCTAATTGCTTTAATGCTGGGGAGATCAATGCTAATATTTTTCACATTTTATGTGGATATTTATATGGCATGGTCTGATACCGATGGCTGACCACATGGTCCAAAGTCCAATTCTTTTGATTAGATTTTGACATTTCTTCAAAATTTATTTTTAATTTTTGTGGTGAATGATTGTAATTACCCCAAACAGTATAATTTATTTTGTTTAAATGTTGAAATGCCATTATCCCCAAAATTTCCAGGTGGGTTCACATTTGACAACTTTGGCCCAAAATCATTTGGCCCAAAGTGCTCAGAATGGTGGAAACCTGCATGATTTTGAAAGAATTTTTGGCTGAGGGTTCACTTGAACCCCGCCTTGCTACGAGTTGGACTTACTTAAATATTATTGTTGTGTTTCCAGGTGCAGATGCAAGAGGGACAGACTCCTGAAGAAGGTCAAAAAATTGCAGAGGATCTAATGGAGAAGCTTGGTATCTCGAGAGACTCTCTTATAACTGGTGCTTATATGGACCACATATTAAAGAAGACAGAACAGAATGGAGAAAATGAATCACCATCAAAGAAGATCAAACACAATTAGCACCATAATATAATAATAAAAGACATTACTACCATGAGTTATGATTAGGGAAATAATCATTTTAAAAATGGGATGGAAACTCATGTAATTACATTTATTTAATAAAAGCTCTACTCCCATTCATTAGGCAGCTAGATAGTAGATACAAGATGAATAATTGAAAGACTACATACCAAAGTCAGCTTACCAGTTAAATTGAGCATCACTGTGACTTCCCAGCTATGTCAATGAGAACACAAGATTTTTTGCAATGAAATTATTTTGAATGTATATCCATACGTATGTAGTTTGTACAGTAGAAGTGGAAACTTTACTGAGATTATTATTATTATTATATTTATTGCCCCTCCAATCATGGAGATAATATATCATTACAGTATATAATAAATGTAATAAAAATAAAGATTTATAAAAATACAAAGACAAGCGGAAAGCATTGATACAGCAGAATCCCCCTGGTTAGCCCATGTTCTCCCCTGGGGGTCCCACTGCACCACTGTGCGAACCATTACGATTTCAAAATGAGAAGGAAATTATATAAAAAAAGCAGTTGTCTAGGACATCACCAGGAGTGCCAATCACGCCTCTTTGTTGACATCCTGATTGGTGCTTCGTGTTACAGTATCACTCCATCCTTAGAATGTACATATTTTGCACAGCTGTTGAGATGCATTTAAGATCTTCGTTTGTTAGAGTCTCATCTCCTCCAAATATGCACCGTAGCTTCAGCATGTTAGTCATGTGTCTCCCATTGGGTATCCTATGTAATATATTTGTTATATTTGTTCTTAATGAGCAGTATCTGGGGCATTCCAAGATGAAGTGCTCCAGAGTTTCAATGCGTTGCATGTCACACATTCCACATATGCGATCATGCACCGGAATATTTTCCCATTCACCGGAATATTTTCCCATTCACCGGTAATAGCTCGGAGTTTTCCTTGACCCGTGAGCAGTCGTACCATCAGGGTGCATCTCTTAATGTATCTACAGTCCTGCCTAGCTATTTCCCACCAGGCAATCGGTTTTGTACTAGTGACTACAGTTCGGTATAATGTTAATTTATCATATGTAATAAGTTCTCTTCTCCACATGTTGCATTCAAAAGTCCTTACTATATTCCTAATATATCGTTTCCAGGTAGATTTTGGGGGAACTTCACCACTGTCCATCATTTCATATATCACGTTTGATATGCCAAACCGTGATGCGAGTGTCATTATGTCACCAATAGGTGACATTTTGTGTAGCGGGTTACTGTCATATCTGAACTTCGTGATACGCTTTATTGCTATGGTACGGAAGATCGAACCTGATACATGAGATAGAAGTTGTAGCAGGAACATCATTTTAGCCACTACTATAGTCGCCGTCATAGTATGCCAGCCTAGTTGGGGTAGGACAGCTGGGTCAGATGTGCTTACTGGCAGGCCTTGTAGTTGTTTGCAGATACTTCTATGTCCCTGCTCGAGCATCTTATAATCGGTTTCACTGAGGGGGACAAGTTCCATTCCATACGTCATAGAAGGCATACTGACAGACCAATATAACTTAGACGCAGTGAGGGGGTTGGTTGGGTTCTGGGTGTGTGTTGTTGTCCCAACATATGCATTCATTGCTCTCTTTCCTTTTGATAGTGCAGACTCTATCAGTTCTCTATTACTGTTGTAGTTCGACATTGGAAGACCGACATGTTGTGTTGTTTGGACTACATCTATTGTACGACCTCCAAGTTGTAAGTCTATTCCTGCCTGTTGAGTGGCACGACTATTACTAAATATGATGGCCTTACATTTGTCCGGATGATAATTGAAGCGCCATTTAATGCTATACTGATGCATCATGTTTAAGATGTCTTGCATTGTCTTTTTATGATAGGCAATAATGACAGTATCATCAGCATAGGATGGACATGTACATAGTACATCACCCACAGAGCACCCTTTACCAGAGTCAATCACATCTAAGAGAAGCCTATTCATATACTCCCCGTAGAGCTCCATGGAGTACAATCCTCCCTGATGAACTCCCTGAGAGATCGGGAACTTATCTGAGAGTGTGACGTCATTTCCACACCTTACTGCACACTGGTAGTCACTGTAGCATAGTCGCAACATCCTCCATAGCTTCCCATGTATCCCAAGATTAAAAAGCTTGTAGAAGAGGCCATTGTGCCACACCGTGTCGAAGGCCTTGCTAATGTCCATTGTGACCATTATGACGTCATTACCACTTTCAAGGCCATTACATATGGCTTCTCTTGTCAGAAGCGATGTGTGGAGACATGACGTCATGGTCTTGTTTGCGGCCTGCATCTCTGACTTCGGCTCAATCCTATGGCACCTCCTGCTCCGCGTTACCATAATCTTTTCCCATAACTTCATGAAGGTCGTCATCAGCGTCAGGCCCCTATGGTTGTCCTTCTCCAAAATATCCTTGTTTCCTCCTTTAAAGATGGGGATTAGTACACCAAGTTTAAAGCTATCTGGGATGTGCTCCAGTCTTATTATATGGTTGTACAATGCTACAAGTATATTGGCAAGTGCGTCACCACCAAAGCGTAAATGTTCAGTGCTGATTTCATCCCAGATGGTACTTAAAACTCAAATGTCAAATTAAAAATTTTAATTTTCCCAGATCGGCATTCAAGAAAATGGGAAGATACTTGAACCTTCTCAATAAAATGAACATCTAATTGTTTCAGCTTATTTTGAGCATTCTTTCAAACATAATTGATTGCTTTTTTGTTATTAATTATGTCACCAACAAAAGTGGTGACATATTGTTATGGTTTCCGTTTTTTTGACGGTGGTTGGCATGTGTAACATCTGTAACAAATTCTTACAACTTCCAATAACTTAAAATACTGTTTAGACTGACCTCAATTTTTTCAAAATCATCTACATATTTTCAGAAGTTCAAATCTTACTATATATTTAAGATTTGACCTTCAATGACCTTTTGTAGGGCAAAAGGTCTTTTTTCAACTTGCTTCAAATTGACCAATTTTTTTCAAAATCATCTACAAGTTATCAAAAGTTCAAATCTGACTTGATTTGAGATTTGACCTTCAATGACCTTCTCAAGGTCAAAAAGGTCTTTTTTCAACTTGCTTCAAACTGACCAATTTTTGGAAAATTATCTCACCAGTTCAAATCTAACTATAGATTTGACCTTCAATGACATTCTCAAGGTTAAAAAATAGATTTGACCTTCAATGACATTCTCAATGTCAAAAAGGTATTTTTTCATCTTGCTTAAAATTGACCTTTTTTCAAAATCATCTACAAGTTCTCAGAAGTTCAAATCTGACTTTAGATTTGACCTTCAATAATCTTCTCAGGGTCAAAAAAGGTATTTTGTCTACTTGCTTCAAATTGACCGGTTTATTTTTTCAAAATCAACTAGTTCTCAGAAATTCAAATCTGACTTAAAGGAACATTCCTTGCCAGACTATTTCTCTCCTGATATGGTAGCTACAATCATATATATACTTCACATATTTAGCAAAACACGGGAAAATGTTTTCATATGGTCAATATTGATAATTTAAAAATGTAGTACTCATTCCTAGTAAGCTGCCATCTTTTCAGATTTCTTTCAGGAAGTGATGTCATCGACTCTCACCTGTTATAACCTTGTCTATTACAGTATAGGAAAGAAGTACAAAATCACTTGTAAACAAGAAGCCCTTATCTTCGGTGTAAAAATATTTTCAGGAGTTGTGAACTTAGAACTAAAGAAGAGATCATCAAAAGGATTTTAATCATAGACCAAATTGAAAAAATATTCAGCTGGTTTAGTAATTCTAATAGCTCCTTACCTAATGTTATATGCAAAGTTGAGAGTCGATGACATCACTTCCTGAGTGAAATTTTAAAAGATGGCAGCCTACTGGAATTGAGCACTACATTTTTAAGTGATCAATATTGACCATTTCAAAACATTTTTCTGTTTTTTGATAAACTTGCAAAGTATGTTTATGGTTATAGCTACCATATTAGGAGAGAGATGGTCTGGCAAGGAATACCCCTTTAAGATTGAACTCATAATATTGTGAGCAACAGATGAAGGTCATACTATTCCCTGTTACCATGGTTACTGTAGATGATTGTAACAATTTATGAGATTTTTATGAAATCTCAAACTTTTGATTATTGATTGTTCATCAGTTGTACTTATCTCTAATTAAATGAAAATAGAGGAAATATTATTCCCGAAATAGAGTTTGTAACATGTCACATTGCAGTGTTTTAACTGTCAGAGATTTATTAATGGTGCACATTTTTGGAGGTGTTACAGGTAACTGTAAGTTGCTTTAATTTGGCGGATTGAGCAAATTTTGAAAATCTGGCTGCTATTTAATTTGGCGGATTTACCAATCAGTAAAATGCGGATAGTAGAGGGTTCATAAAAAGATGCAAATGTTTTTGAAAAATAACAATCAGTGGATCTAGATCTTGGAATATAGTTCAATATTGACATTTTAGTGGGGTATTTTCAAATGTTTTTATCCAGCAAGGGAATCGCTGGGGATTAGTTTAAAAAATTGTCAGAGACTTAATTTGGTAGTACATGTATCATCAATCCGCCAAATTGAAACAGCCGTCATATTAAAGCAACTTGCAGTATACTGTATTTGATATCTCATTATATAAACACTTTTCGTGGAAATATACTGTTATTATAATATAATTGAAATGTGAATCCCTCAACAGTGTTTATATTGGAGAGAATTTGTAATTGATTGTGAATCCATGTCTATATTGCTTTGTAGCTTTATTCTGCCTATTCAGAAACATCTAATGAGTGAGTCTTTATTTTACAATGTGTGACAACTATGCATATACAGTATAATATATTTTTATGTCACCTTCAGAAGTGGTGACATATCATTATGGTATTCAACTTTTTTGGATGGTGTTTGGCATCTGTAAGTTAACAAATGGCAAATGGGGACATTTTGCAATTGTTAATACCTATTGTTTATACATGTACTTCTCAATTGATGATTTGCGATCACCGAATGGATTCTGTCTTTTAGTGACGTCACAATTAGGTCACCCAGCTTTAGATGCTGGATTTTGAGAGATTATCTTCTATATTTCGTGCTTTATTGATTTATTTTTC